GACACCAGGCCCAGCAGAGACACCCATCACATGTGAAGACATGTTTAAAGGCCCAGCTCACACACACGGAGCCATCAGAACAGTGCTGACAAAGGGAGTGGCTGGCATCGGGAAAACAGTGCTCACTCAGAAGTTCAGTCTGGACTGGGCTCAAGGTGAAGCCAACCAGGACATACAGCTGCTGTTCCCGTTCACTTTCAGAGCACTCAATGTGCTGAAGGAGAGAAGATTCAGCTTGGTGACACTTGTTGGTCACTTCTTTAGTCAAACACAAGCAGAACTCTGCAGCTTTGAACACCTCCAGGTGCTCTTCATCTTTGACGGTCTGGACGAGTGCAGACCTCCTCTGGACTTCACCAAAACCGAGGCCCTGAGTGACCCCACAGAGTCCACCTCAGTGCACGTGCTGCTGGTGAACCTCATCAGGGGGAGCCTGCTTCGCTCCGCTCGCCTCTGGATAACCACACGACCCGCGGCGGCCAATCAGATCCCTGCTGAGTGCGTCTCCATGGTGACAGAGGTCAGAGGGTTCACCGACCCGCAGAAGGAGCAGTACTTCAGGAAGAGGTTCAGAGACGAGGCCGACACAATCATCTCCCACATCAAGACGTCCAGAATCCTCCACATCATGTGTCACCTGCCGATCTTCTGCTGGATCGCTGCCGCAGTCCTGGAGCATCTGTTGAAAAGCAGAGAGAGAGAGGAGAGCTGCCCAAAGACCCTGACTCAGATGTACATCCACTTCCTGGTGGTTCAGGCCAAAGTCAAGAACATCAAGTATGAAGAAGGATCTGAGACAGACCCACACTGGAGTCCAGAGACCACGAAGATGGTGGAGTCTCTGGGAAAACTGGCCTTTGAGCAGCTGCAGAAAGGAAACCTGATCTTCTATGAGAGTGACCTGAGCGAGTGTGGGCTGGACGCTGCAGCGGCCTCAGTGTACTCCGGAGTGTTCACACAGGTCTTTAGAGAGGAGCCAGGCCTGTACCAGGACAAGGTCTACTGCTTCATCCATCTGAGTGTGCAGGAGTTTCTGGCTGCTCTTCACGTCCATCAGACCTTCATCAACACTGGGATCAACCTGCTCTCAGAGAAAACACAGAAGTCTACAAAGTTCAGTGTGAAAAAAAAACTAACGCATCTTCATCAGACAGCTGTGGACCAGGCCTTACAGAGTCCAAACGGACACCTGGACCTGCTCCTCCGCTTCCTCCTGGGTCTTTCTCTGTCGACCAATCAGAGCCTTCTACAAGGTCTGCTGACACAGACAGGAAGTAGCTCCCAGACCAATCAGAAAACAGCTGAGTACATCAAGAAGAAGCTGAGTGAGGATGTGTCTGCAGAGAGGAGCATCAACCTGCTCCACTGTCTGAATGAACTAAATGATCGTTCTCTGGTGGAGCAGATCCAACTGTACCTGAGATCAGGACGTCTGTCTGAAGGTGGACTGTCTCCTGCTGAGTGGTCAGCTCTGGCCTTCATCTTACTGTCATCAGAAGAAGATCTGGACCAGTTTGAGCTGAAGAAATACTCTGCTTCAGAGGAGGTTCTCCTGAGGCTGCTGCCAGTGGTCAAGGCCTCCACCAAAGCTCTGTGAGTCTCCTTTGTTTAACAGAGGATGGTTTGATTCAACTTCTACATCAACAAAGTTTTCTGTCTCCAGACTGAGCAGCTGTAACCTGTCAGAGAGAAGCTGTGAAGCTCTGTCCTCAGTCCTCAGCTCCCAGTCCTCTAGTCTGAGAGTCCTGGACCTCAGTCTCAACGACTTGAAGGACTCAGGGCTGAAGATGTTGTGTGTTGGACTGAAGAGTCCTCACTGTAAACTGGAACAGCTCAGGTCAGAGGGGTTCATATTCTTCACTATTATTACATAACCTGTTGGTATTTGTGTTGGAAAATCACATTTGATAAAGTCACATAAAGATCTGGGACTTGTTCTTTGTCTCATTTGGGTTGAATGTTTGTAATAAATGGACTGATTCCAATAATCTGTGTCCTCAGACTGTCAGGTTGTCTGCTCTCAGAGGAAGGCTGTGCTTCTCTGGCCTCAGCTCTGAGGTCCAACCCCTCCCATCTGATAGAACTGGACCTCAGCTACAACCATCCAGGAGACACAGGAGTAAAGCTCCTGTGTGCTCTACAGGAGGACCCCCACTGCACACTGGACACTCTCAGGTATGGACATGCTCGCCTGCTTAACACTCACAATCATAAATGACAGTGTCATGAATAAAAACAGAATTCAGAAGCACCAGAGGCCTGTGCACCACAGATTGAGAAGAGTGTTAGGGTCAAAAGAACACATTTGAATGTCACATGGAGTGAAAATGCTCTGAGACAAACTCTGATGTGGTGTGTTTCCTTCAGACTGACACCTGCTGGAGAACAATGGATGAATCCAATCTGGAGATGTAAGTCTGACTTAACTCATTTAACTCTGGTCAGTTTGATGATTTTATTTGTGTCACACAAACAAAGCGTCTGTCAACATTCTATTACACAACCGGCTCATTTTTGAGGGTCACAGTGTTTCCTTTTTGAGCGAGTTCAAACACTGTTGTGATGTAGAGATGTAGAGTTTCAGGGGTCATCATCTGGACACTGTTTTTACAATCCAACACAAGTTTATTTGTACAAAATCACAATCATCACAATAAATAAATCAAAACATCAGAAGTGCTGCTGCTGGAGCAAAGGAGGAGCCCTGGAGCCACTGACACAGACACAACTGTTGGACTCAGCACAGGACTGTCTCCACACAAGCACAAGTCACACTGGACAAAACTGAACACAGCAACTGGACAAACCTGATGTTTGTGCAGGGGTTTCATTAGTGGTTGTGTGTGTTGGGATAGTGCTCTGAAGGGGGAGGGACTTAGCACAGAGAGCAAAGAGAGGACAGACTCAGAACATAGCCCCTCTTTAAAGGAGAAAGTGTGTGTCCTGGAGCACAGACGAGTGTAGGAATGTGTGGAGTGACGTCAGAGACTGAAGCTGCACTTTGTCACTGCAGCAACAAACTCCAGA